ATAGATGACATAGTCATATTTTCGAAGACTACAGGTGAGCACACCGCATTAGTCAGACGAGTCCTTAAGAGACTTAATGAGCAAAACAACAAGATTAACGAGAAGAAATGCCACATCGCAATAAGCGAAATACAGCCATTAGGCTACCATATATCTGGGGATGTTATCAAGATCAACCCTGGTAAGGTAGAACACCTGTTAGATTGGCGAACACCAACTACAGAAAGAAACTTCTTTTCAGATGGAGTACCACACTTAGCTGACTACCTTAAACCTTTTGGATACTTAAGATGTCATAAAGGCAAACTAGGAGACTTGTGGACTAAATAATGTGATGACGCATTTAAAGCGCTCAAATACGCAGTCCAACAAGCCCCAGTTATACAAGGGCCAGTCGATGGCGTGCCGTTTGAAATAGCAACGGGTTCGAATTTACCTACTATGGCTGTCATAACACTCCCAGGTGGTGCCTTGACGTACTCCATAGTTGCGTGTACACCTTTTGGCAAATCATTCATATCGTCAAAGTGTCGAGGCTTGTAGCTGCGTGTATTATCTACATCTACTAGTTTCTTCAATTCAGATGGGAAATCAAGACGGACTAGCATTTCCGTAATTGCTTCCTTTGAAAAGATGAAAGCATCCCCTTCATCACCTGTATACGATTCCATTCCCGACTTTTCCCCTTCTTGACCTCCCAGCAAATATTTCTTGAAGTTGCGGTGTCGGGAGCAAAGCTAAACAAAATGATATAAAAATGATCAATATACAAAGAAAAATCAAATACAGATGACACGACATATATTACAATAATAGTACAAAGCTGTAAATAGCATCAGTATACATATGTCATACCTTGTTCCATCGATTTTGAAGCTGTTGATCAGTGTAGCCTTTGCCATCATCTCCTATTTGATTTAGCGTTTTATTGCCAACGGCAGTCCAGCCACTATTTTGTAGATTCTTGCATTTTCCATCCGGGCCCATTGGTGCACCTAGTCCAAATTTGATATAATCCATGTATGCTGAAACTAATGTCGTGTCTCGAAAACCCCCATCATTATCCCAATCCGCTCTGGGCATTTTTCCGGTAGAAGCCGATTTTTTTCTTTGACTTTGTCGCATTCTTCGACAAATCATCACAAACGCTAGCTCGTTTGGACTTGAAAGTGGGTAGTATAGGATTAAGTATGTAGAATTGTCGACATACAAAGTAGATGTTGGATGATTCGGAATAATTGGATTGAAATTGAAATCGAGATGATCAAGCTTTGATGGTGATGGATCGGGCAATGCGTGCATAGTTTGAATTTTTGAGATCGGGCTGTGTATTTTGTTTTGTGTAGATATATGGCTATTTTGATCAGCCACGTCAGACGAATCTTCAACCGATTCATTCCCAGTGACCTCATCTTCCTCCACAAGAGAATCCATGGATCTAGGCGCGTGAGATGGGGTTGCACTCATTGTGGTTGAAAAATGGTGTGGCACTTGTAGAATACGACTATTCTTTATATATTCTATCGATAATGAAACGAAAAATCTCAACAGTTATCAACACGAACGTTTTGAGAAATGGCGCGGTTTCGTTTTTGCTCTTTCTATTTTTGGCGGTATTGATGGTAACGTAAAAAAGTTGTCGTAGAGATAATAATATTTATTTCAAATTGCCGTAGGCGTAAAAATCGACGGTTGGAAATAATGGCTGTTTTAAATAGTATATTTAAGGAGCTCAAATATTTTTGAGAATGATGTTGTACCCAAAAGAAAATCTGAGAATAAAAAATCGATCTAAAATGGACTTATTCAAAAAGAAATCATTTTGAGTTGCAGAACAGGGCCTAAAACCACTACCAACAGCATGGTCAAAATATATTTGCTTTGTTTTATGGTCACAAATTGCATTGGTATTAATAATAAAAATTACAAGGTAACCGACCATTAGAAAAATCTAATTTGAGAGTTTGCACTCATCTGTGTCCAATGTCAGCCTGTCAGGTGCATATCTCGATATATTCTAAGACAAACCGATAATGAAAAGGTGAAAGTTTCAAAGTTCAAAAATCAAAACGTTTGGCCGATTTAATTTTTGTGTTTAGAATACTTTTACGAAATATTCAAAAATATTCCATAGAATCCATAATACAACTCTGCTCGTCTGAAACCATAAATGCTTTTACTCTCTACCTGCATACTGAACTCTAGAGTAGACGCTACTCTTTCTAGTGCGAAGATTTCAGATTTAGAGTATTTATTGTTTCTCATTTGTCATAGCATACGATTTATATACACACGTCTTCCATTATTAAAAATAGTAAACATAGCCTTCTACATAATAATCTATTTTTAAAAATAAAATAAAATAGTTCACTTATAGGGTGAACATTCGGCCATTTGCACTCGTTGCTTTTATGTTGCTGCCTTTTTTTAAAAAACAAAATATATAAACAAACAAAAGAATCATATCCTTGTTTTTTTAATTTTTAAAAACAATATAAAAGTACTTTGCTCTATTGTATTAAAAATAACGACAATAGGTGGTTACGCAAGAGACCTATTTTTAAAGGGCTAAGAGTACGAGACAGGGTTTTAGCGATGATGAGGTATTTATTTTGATTTTAAGGGGGATTAATTTTAAGGTTTTGCTCCGAGGTGAAGGTGGAACATTGCGTCTTTTTTTCCTGAAAACAATCACACTCGTCAGTCATCACTCATCACTCGTCACTGTCATCCGTCGTGCTATTCTATTCAGTTATTTTCATAGCCTCCTTAAATTGAACATAGTATGTGTTTTTTTTTAAACAAAATGAAAATACGTGTTCAGGAAGTCGAATATGCGCATCGAACAGCTCACTCTTTATGTGAGTGATCTCAGAATACTTTTATTCTTGTTGAGAAAGAAGGCATAAGTTTCCCCGTGTGGAACGATCTTGATATTTTAAAATCTCTCCTGTGCAGAAGTGCACTAATATTTGTTCATGTCCGGCATGCACGAGTGGAACGCAACACATTGCTTTCACTGCGAGCTCAATCATTCAGTTTTAGGGTACATACAAGGCTTCTACGTAAACACAGAATATATGGGTTCTAGTTTGTAAGCGTGATTAAAGTTGGGCAAATCAACCTACCCCTCTCGAGACTATCCCGAGAATCCTGTAGATGTCACCCCTCTATCTCTATGTAAAGAAGACAAACTAATGTCATTGCTCCTACCAAACTTGAGAGGGGCGGGGTGCCCCTGTCCCTGCCCTCCACTACTCTAGTGTCTACAACTCGTCTACCTATTATAAATATCGCACACTTTTCTCTTGCTTCGTATATCCAAAAGTGGTGAAGAAGACGGCTTGCTAACATTTATGCTTAAGTCACCGCTTTTTTAATCAAATAAATAGTACAGTGTACGTACGATATACAGATTGAATTGCAACATGCTGTTATCTATAAATTGGATGATCGTGGCCTCAGTGGGGATTCTATCCATCCAATATCGATATATCTAGGAGTATCTCATGCTCCCGAGATAGGTTTACTTCTCTGATTTGTTGTATCATGGCGGCCACTCCGAGTATCTGAACGTGCCACATGTTTGTTTCGCCGACTGGTTCACACTCTTTCAGCGACCTTGATGGCTGCTCTACACCCAGTTTCAATCACCGTCTTGTATGCATTATAAAATGGCGTCTGTTCGAAAATCGAGCGGAGTGCAACCCATTAGCAAAGCCAGTCATATATAAGATGCGGTTCAGGCTCGCATACATTTTGACTAAGTTATGTCGCACTACAAAATTCAATTGAGATCTAATTTGTGGAAATATATGGCAAGGGCAAACATACGATGGATGAAATGATTGTATTCTCCAGTGCGTACATGTCTGAAATCAAGAGAGCAAGAAAAAAATACTTTGAAACCCTGAATGGTGTTATGTGAATCAAGTACGCCTACCACGCGTACAATCAACCCCTTCTCCGGCGCGCAAATTGCAACTAAAGAGTAATGGATGCGTTAACTTTCGTGATCGCCCGTGCAGCCGAGCAATAGTCCCACAGGGCAGATCTGAATTACATACCATCTCAGCATCATTTTCTAATCCTGTCTCCAGATGGTGCAGCTCTTCATCTCTGAACTGACTTATAATCCCGCATAGCTCAGCTCTCCTTTCTCTATCGCCCTCTTTTGCTTCATCCATACTAAGCAGTTCACGCAATTGACTACAAGATGATAGACGAACAAATTAGTAGCATTGGCCTACGGAAGATCGTCAGACAGTCACACTGATTGAAGAAGTTTGCATCGCTCTTGCGTAAAATGTTTTCACCGATAATTCACAAGTACATCTGTACGAAATAACAATATAGAAACTTTGTGCACTGCTCAACAATTTCTACGTCGGTAACTACACGTACACGCCATTCCGTAATTTTAATAGGTGAAATGCAATATCAGTGCTTTACACCCCCCCCACACAGGGCGATGTAGCTACACTCTACTATGCACCTTCGATGTTATTCCGCGCGCATCTTGCTTCACAATCAGTACGAACACCCTACCCCATCCTTTACACATATGTACACACAATGTATAACGATTGCGAACGCGGGACCAACCTGTCGTAATGCTCGCCAATGACTGTCTCAACAGCTACAGTACACGCCATCGCAGCCTCTTTACCCAAAGCAGCACTGCCTGCACCCAAAACCCACCCGGCAACGTTCCACACAGGGTATAGTGCACTAGGGCGTACTCTGTATTCGTTCATAAGTCTCTCAAAAGTGGCCAAATGGTGCTTCTCTTGCTCCCACATTTCTTTGACGGTAGGTCCCACTGTTGCAATTGATTTTGACATTGGTTACGCTTGAATTGCATCTATTGAATACTTCAATGCCGATAATTGCCGATGGCCAAAGACAATTCAATGATACACAGACCGTTGGAAAACGTACACCATTGGAACGAACGATGGAACGAACGAACGATGGAACGAACGAACTATTGATAGTGTCTAAACCGAGAATTGTTCGAACAACATCTGCAAAATATAATTCACGTGCTATAAATCGTGTACTTCAAAACATACCCGGTGTCGTCTTAAGAACAGCATACTGCCCTGCGTAGATACGATCAGCACCGAGCTCACCAGCATGATCCACCCGGACGAGAGTATCGATAAACGTCCTTTCAGTCTCACTCAGACCCTTATATAGATGCCTAAATCTAGAAAACGGAATTAGCAAGAAAAAATATAAGATCTCAATCATCCGTGGTCTACACTGGAAAGCAAAAATATATATGACGACCACTGGAGTACATTTATGTCTAAATCTATCTATCTCCCTATATATAT